TTGTTGAATCTGAAGTGACATGTTCGTACGAACCCTTTGTACGAACAAAAGTAAGAGAAATTTAGGATAAGAATATGAACATGTTCTTGCATGAGGCCCAATGTAATGTGTCTTTGATTACCTATAATAATATACATACTGTATCTTAACCTTTTATTTAGTTGTTTATTATTTGTCTCCTGTTTGTCACAGGTAGGTGTCAGGGTGGGATCACTGGGTCATACTCACCATGTAAAATATTAACAATTCAATAAAAAGAGTGTAAAAATGGCACAAAACACGCAGAGAAATTTTGATTACTAAAATCTGTGTGCAAGAAACTACAAACAAGAAAAGCTGAGTGTGAATAATGACTCAGCCTTCACACAAATGATGACATAATGAATCCAAAGAAAACCAAGTGTCAGAAACAGTAACACTAATGAGTGCAGTGCTTTTTGTTGTGTAGATGCTCGACACCAGGTGGCGCTGCAGCTCCTGCACTCTGAGTGGGAATACGTGTTGACCCTGAACCAGCTGTATGACCAGTATAAAACACCTGCTTCTCACCACACCACCGCAGAGCCACAGTGAGTGTTAACACAACTCAAGAACACAAGGTTAACACAACTCACTCAACATTGGCAAAAATTAAACACCCGGCAGTCCTTGAAGGACAGCAAATCATCCTCCAACACCAAGCCATTTTTGTGAAGAAAGACCATCCATCATTAAACAGAGGTGGAGGCCTCCGCTTTCAGTTGTCCCCCTCCTACAGTGCTGCTATTGCCAGTATCACTCCATCCCCTGTTAACAATAGATGTTATTTAGGTGTCAACGATAGCCATGTGATATGAGTATCAGTCACATGGAGGCTAGGGCTGTGTATTGGCAAGAATTTGGCGATACGATACATATCATGACAGAGGGGTCACGATACGATATATCCCGATATATTGAGATACTATAAGCAAGGCGATATATCGCGATATATTGCAATTTTTTTGTCCAAAAATTCTATTAAATAAAAACCTCTTACTGGGGAAAAGAAAAAGAAAAACCAAAATTCATTGTCTCCGAAAATTCTAATATTACATAGACATACTTTTGATACATTTAGCTGTGTTCTGCTTTGTATGTRTTTTATTTTATTTGTTTCATATTTCATCCATGTTTTCAATTATTAGACTAAATTTGCCAACAAATAGTTTGAAAATATATTTTTTGCAGCTTTTAGTTTTTAATATTAATTTACAATGTGGTCACCCAACACTTAACAATAGCCTCTACCTCTTGAGGTAAGCCAAATAGCTGGCTCACTGCTGCCAACTAGTGGTCAGAGGCTGAACTACAACATAAAAATGAACGGCTGGCAGGGAAGTTGTTGTTTTAAACCTTAATAAAAAAATCGATACAGGGCTTTAGAATATCGATACAGTATCGGGAAATGAAATATCGCGATATTTTAGTGTATCGATATTTTCTTACACCCCTAATGGAGGCACTGCTTAAAAGCCTGAATTTTGCCTGAAACTCTCAGACTGAAGTCTCTTGGAGGAGAGATGAAACGTTTCATTAGAGAAGAACCCGTCCAGAAGACCTATACAATTTTTTTCTTTTTGATCCTCCACCTTACATGTGTTTTACACTGAGATCTTCTTATGTTGAAAAACAACAGAACTGAAGCTGTTTTGGTCAAAGCTTGGACACAACATTTTGTGCAGTCAGTTACTACCAGCCTCTGTAAAATTCACCAACATGTTTGACCAGTTTCATGTCATCTAAGGCTGATTAGCTGTGGGCTGTCTCCAAAACTTAATCAGTTGTGGATGAACATCCTGTAATTAATTATAAGAGTTTCACTGGATTTTCATACTRAACTACACATAACTTAAGAGTTCATAGATAATGTTTCAGCAGACCATGTGCAGGGGTTAGACACTGAAACTGAAACACCTGTCATGTTAGAGTGGGAGGTTTCATGGTTAAACTGGACCAGCCTGGTGGTCARKCTTCATTAACTGCACATTGCACCAGTAAGAGCAGAGTGTGAAGGTTCAATCAGCAGGGTAAGAGCACAGTTTGGCTCAAAATATTGCAACGCACACAACATTATACCCTTTAAAGCCTCACCCTTTAAAAATAGTCAGAAAATTTCCATTTTTTTTAGAACTGACATGTTTATTGGGCCTTTAAACAAAATCCAAAAAAAAATTTTTTTTCCCACATCACTTTGTTTATGATATGTTTTTTTGTATCAAATCTGATACACTGGGCTGTTTTGGTAACATTTTGCTCACAACAAAGTTAAATAAAAGAAACAAACAAAAAACAGTTTTGCTCATAACTTTTAACAAGTTTAGAAAACTCTAGGAAGTTTACTTCTTTGTTTTTTTTACAATGAACTTTTTACAGCCATTTATTTCACTTGGTGGTAGGCACAAATACAGTTTCTGTCCTTGTTCAGGCACAGATGTACCTTATACTTTATAAAAATTGCCATCTATTTTCAAATTGACGACATTTTCTTACTTTCTTTTTTCTCTTCTTCCTCAATTCTCTTTGACATCAACATGTAAATATTTAGTCAGTACAGCGTAGTAGAGATTATAATTTCAAAGAAATTCACTTTGAAAATAGACAAAATGTGTTTTCAAATGGCGTTTCAGTAATTAATCAATCATCCAAAATAGTGTGTGGTTGTATTGTGGCAGGAATACTGTTGAYTAAATTACTAAAATTACTAAAATGTCACATGACGATTCAGGACTGGAGCACCTCATATACCTGCAGTATCAAGTGTGATACTCATTTTTAACACGGTTTAACTGTACTATTAAAAATATGTTTAAGTTATTATGCATTATTTCAACTCAAAAAGTATTTATTAAAAAAAAATTACAAAGAATAATGATGTTATTCTTACCATAACTTCACCAAAATTAGCAAAAGTTCCTGAAAAAATGTGTAGATGACCTCATGTCAGCAGACATTTTGAAAAGGCAAAAAAAAAACCAAACAAACAAACAAAAACCGTTCCACTTCCTGCAGTACATTGATGATCCACCAGAGGGCAGAATACAGGTCTCACATTATATACAACAGGTTTTTGAGGAAAATATTGATCACATTGACAAAATATAGGTCATAGAATCCTGCGTAGCAAATATGATACGAATGGCGATATGACATACCAGAGTTCAAAAGAGGACAAATTGTTGGTGCACGTCTTGTTGGAGCATCTGTGACCAAGACAGCAAGTCTTTGTGATGAATGAAGAGCCACAGTATCCAGGGTAATGTCAGCATACAACCAAGAAGGACCAACCACATCCAACAGGATTAACTGTGRACGCAAGAGGAAACTGTCTGACAGGGATGTTCTGGTCTAAAACCAGCTGGTTCACTTTTAACCCCTGTACATTAGAATTACACTTTTTAACTTTTTTAAACCCATAAAAGGACAAATGGGATCTTAGCAGCTTCCCTGCCTAAAAGTGTCCACTTTTTGTAAAAAAAAATAATAATAATAATAACCCAGACACTCACAGTCCTGGCTAAAGGGCTGTAGCATGTTTAGTCAGAGATAAATGATGCTTCTATGTGATGCAGGAAGACGTTTGTGACGTTTGTGGAGCAGCTGCTGCAGCGACATGTTCTCTTCAGAAACACCCTGCAGGAGCGTCTGTACGCTGAACACTGGAAGTCTCTGCTTGGAGATATTCTGGTGCAACTCGTTGGCCAAAACGATGTGAGTCGGGCTTTCCTTTGGAGCTGAGAGCCGTTCAGTTTGTCACTGTGAACTGTTGGAGACAGGAGGCTCATTTATTTTAGTTTGTTGCTCTTGCAGACAGCTTTTTCAGACATCTACCTGGGATACACAACCAGTCTGGCTTCATTCCTCCCACTGGAGTTCTACAGACTAAACCAGCCTGAGAAAAGTCACAAAATGCAGGTATTTCTTGGGCTTTTTTTATTTTTCAAACATGACGAGCTGAAAGGACAACATTTCCTGGTAGCGTCTTTGTGTTGTTTTCACAGAGAGGTCAGATGGAGAGGGAGGAGATGAAACTGCTCTCTTTGCTCCTGGCACCCACGGCTCGCATACACAGTTACCTGAGTCACATTCAGGTGAGTCAACAGGAGCTCCTCCATCTTTTACCTGCCTCTTCAGGGTCACTGGTGTCCAGCAGTCACAGTGTGAGGGGCGGGGTGCACCCTGGACAGTTAAAGTCCATCACAGGGCTCAACAGGAACCATGAGTGTGAAAACATTAACAACGCAGAGATTTACAGTACAAAATCCAAAAAAGTGGGTAAAATGTAACAGGATGCCAGAATGTACTAATTTCCTAAACTTGTTTATTCAAAACGGTACACAGTAAATATATTAAATGTAGAATTTAATGGCAGCAGCATGACTTTTTAAAGTGCAGGAACTGAGACCAGTGGTTGGAGGTTTTTGGAGGAAATGTCAGTTGTATGATTTTAGCTGTTCTGGCTCTACTTTGATGGATTTTCTGTTTCATGATGTGTTTAATGTTTTCAGCTGGTGAGAGGTCCGGTCTGCAGGCAGGTCAGTTCAGCTCCAGGAGCCTCATGTATAAACGGTGCACCCATGTTGGGATGTGTTAAAACCAACGTTGCGTGAAAGTGTGCGTATATTTACGCATATTTTTCACCTGTTGTGAGAATGTGCGGCAGCCACGCAAAGTTTTCCAGTCGACAGTTTTAAAGGGATCCACGATTAGTTGTAACATTAGACTTTATTTAATAAACATCTATTTTAACTGTAAAATAAAGACTGTAAAAATACTGTAGGATGTTCAGTTTTTATCATTTTTGAACTGTAAGTTAAAAAAATATTACACGGACGGAGCCATTTTATTTACACACAAAGCATTCTGGGTAAATGATGACGTGGATAGGTCCTCGGTGCGAGGCTGCTAGCGAGCTATATCCACC